CTTCCTTCCTTCCTTCCTTCCTTCCTTCCTTCCTTCCTTCCTTCCCTCCTTTCTTTCTTTTAAATTAACAATCAATCTTTGCTTCCTGCAGGTCTATAGAGCTTTTCTATTTTTTCTTGAATCAGTTTTAGTAATTTGTGTGTTTCCAGGAATCTGTCCATCTCATCTGGATAATGTAATTTGTTGGCATCTAATTGTTCATAGTATTCTCATAATCCTTTTAATTTCTAAGATTGGCAGTAATGTCTTCACTTTCACTTCTGTATTGTTATTTTTGACTTTTAACTCTATTGCAGTACAAATGATCTTTATTGAACATTGGTGTACAAATTGAAAATTGAATTTTTGATTAGATTTACACAGCTTCAAGGGTATAATGTAAAAGTTATCTCTTTGTTTTACATAATTCTTAGAAAATTTTTGTCCTTGCTTTTAAATCACCTCTTCCCTCCAAACTTGTTAGGACCACAGAGAGGAAGGAGGCCTGGTCTTTAAAAGGAATCAAAGGTAGAATATTAGTCTCCCAGCATCATGTGAACTATATGCTCCAGCAAAGGTGGCTAAGTAGGATACATGAAAATTGATCATTTAAAGACTAGATGCATTATTACTCTCTTTTGGTAAGCAGACATTTGATACTAAGTTGGACTGAACTTTTGTTTCTATGCTCTTTCAAAAGAGTTACTCTGTAAAACAAAGTAGTTCTTATTAAAAAAAAAAAAAAAAAACAGGAAAGGAAAAAAGAAAGTAAGCAATGCCCAAGGTCCCCAGAGTTTTAAATTCAATTGGGATATCTTGTAACTGCTAACTTGAGTTTCCTCCTACTTACTTTGATGCCTTGTTTTCTATCCCATAATTTGAATTTGAATTTAGGCAGCATTTCTTAGGGCTTCCTGAACTTTAGACTTTGAAAACTCCTAAAGCCGCCATGGGGTGAATTCAACAGAGTGAATTCAAAATGGCAGCTAATACTGTGACCTAGCAGTAAAGCACGATCTTTTATGCACTACTTTAATAATAATAATAATAATAATAATAAATATATAAATTATGTTTTTCTCATCCTTTTTTGGATGATTAGGGTTATTTAAAGGACTATTTTCAAAGGAGCCTGGGGAATATCAATTTTCCTTTGCTAAAAGTTAATAATTCAATAATTCAAAATATCAATATTCCTATGTTCCAACATACCCATATGAGGAGGAAATAATATCCTATTATTCCTTTATCCTATTTTTGTGAGGTGATGATACATATGAGAATTAAGACTCACAGTTTAAAAAGTTAATAAATGAGACAATCTTAGCAAAGATTGTTTCTGGTCAATTTGATTATGTCTCGATATTAACTTTTGACAGAACTCTCCATTCATCCTACTGGACAATTTACAACTAGTTTGAATACATATGACTGAAGAACTACTCTGTGAAAATATAGAAAGGTAGCATAGAAAAATCCTATAATAGGTACCAAGGTCATACCATCAGTGAGTTGTGGGGTTAAGACGAAAACACATAGATCTCCCGACTGCTGGTCAGGGTTTCTTAAAGTTAGGCTGAACTCAAGTTAAACGTATCTGAGTCAAAGGGATATCTAGACAGAAACCTCTGACAAGCAGAAAGGAAAGAGATGGGGTTGATGTCCATATAAAAAGGGAGCAAGATAGCAGGACAGAATTCTCAAGTCTTGGAAACAAAATTAATTTTCTTCAAGTAAATAAGTAAGCATGCTGAGAAACAATGCTGAGGGCCACATAGTGGGTGGGAATTACAGGCCTCATCTTTGCAGGCAGCTTCAGAGTTAAGTTTTGGATATAATATGCAATCCAGAGTTGGAGGCAGATGAGTATAGATCCAAATCCAATCTCTTCTTTTTCACTGTGGGCAAGTTAATTCAGCCTTAAAAGCATCTAGTTCCTTGATCCTTAAACAATGATAAATGTAAAAAATATAAATAAAGCATACGGTTTTGAGCAACAAAATAAGATAATTTAAATACAGATTGTATCCAGCAGAAAGCCACCAAATAAAAATTAGTTACATCTGTTTTTCCATGGATTTTACTCACTCGTCATCAAGAGCATAGAATTTTGAAATTAGATAGTGTATCAGTAGAATGCTCATGGTAGCAAGTAATAAAAACTCAATTCCTAAACAATAAAGAAACATCTCACCAAGTGTAAGTCTCAAGACAGGACATGCTTCAAGACAGTTTGATAAAATAGTTCAATAATGTCAACAAGACCCGGGTGTTATCTGTTGTCCACTCTTCCATTCAGAGTGTGACTTTATCATATAACTGGTTTCCTGATGTTTGTGGGATTGCTACAGTAGCATTCATATCTGTTGATAAGAGAGAGTGCTCCTTGAAATCATCAACGTTCCTCCCGTGTGGTGAGAGTGGTCCAAATTAGGTCACATCTCCTCATACAATAACTGTTGCCAAAGAAAAGCCAGGCTCTGAGTGATTTAGGCCTTGATTCCTGAGCCACTCAGCAGCAGAGAGGATGGGACTGTCATGATCATCAGACCCCACTTCTTGAGCTTCTTGGAGTCAAATTTGGGTTTAGGGAGTCAGACCCAATGTCTGCTCCTGAAAGCTTAGATTCCAACTTACTTGCCATGTTGTGTAACTTGGGTAAGTTTTACAACTACGTTGAACTTACTGAATTTCCTCATCGGCAAGTTGGATATGAAGCTGAATTGAGATAAATAAACATGAAAACAAAAGGATCAGCAGAATGTCTGGTATGTACTCAGTAAATATTAATTGTATTATTATTATTCATCTACATGCTTTCGTATTATGTAATAGTTTTAAGAATGTCTAATAAAGTGAGATTTTTGAGAATGTATACATCATCACTTTCATTGTTCACCTCCAAAGTCTTACCTATAATAAATGTCCAACATATTTCTTTAACAAATGAATAAATAAATGAATATCTATTGAGTGAATGATTTAAGGCCTGAAAACAATAAAAGATAGATTTAAAAGAAAGGCAACCAAATGATGACTGGAAGAATTATAAATTAGGAAAAATATGAGAACAAAATGGGCCAGAGTGAGAAAGAATATACTTGAGAGAAAAAAACACTAGACCTAGAGAGGCCTTTCCCCTTAAGACTTGAATGGTTGCAGGAAATAAGCAAAGCAAATAAAATTTGTGTTTAGGGTAACCAGTACATTGAGGCTATGATATCTTCAAATATTTTGTTTTATAATTTGATAAATAATAAATATTTGGATAAAACCCATATGAATGCTTACTGCACTTTAGAGGAGGTAGAAGAAATAAAAATAATAGCTACCAAGTACTTGATATGTTATGGGTGTTGTTCTGAGTGTTAATCTTACATAAACTCATATAATCCTCAAAACAAACCCACGAGGTAAGTACTATTCTTTTTATCCCCATTCTCATTTACAGATAGAAAAATCAAGCCCAGCAAGACTGGGCAACTTGCCCAAATCACATAGACAGTAAGTAGAAAACTGAGATTTTTACCCAACAGGTCTGACTCAAGTGTCTGTGTTTTTAGCCATTACACTATACTGTATAATAAAATAGAAGGGTGCTCAGAAAAACTAGATTGCTTTTCCAAACCACCACACATCCAAGAGTTAAATGTGTTAGTGCCCATAAGGAGCCCCGCAGGCCTCACAGGTCACTGAGAGTCCAAAGGCAGAGCCACCAGTTCACGACACATGTGTTCCCTCCGGCCCTTACATTGTACTTCCGTAATCTCCAGCGTATAACACAATGGCTGTGAAGAGTGCCAACTAATCATATCTGTTAAGTGGATGATTGTGTAGATGGATGGATGGACGGATGGATGAATGCCAGTATATATGTTGTGCCCACCTTATTTCCACAGCAGACCAAACCTCTTCATGCTTCCCCATTTGGTAAATTGTCATTAAAAACTTGCTGGATTTTTCAAGATGAGATGGTATGATTCACAATAACACTTGGAGTAATACGAAAGAGATAGAGATAATCCATTCCTCAGAGGATACTCTGGAACTTGGAATGAATAGAAAGTTTTTGACTCTTCCCAGGGACTCTTTCAGAATTGTTGCTGAGCTATAGAGAAAAAGCACAGAAAACTGCCTGAATGAAAGGAAAAGCTAGTCCAGGGGGCTCTCCAAGGGAATTAAGGGACCAGGGACTATCAAAGTACCACTTACCTCAAAAGGAATCTACAAACAGTAAAACAAGGACAGTCACCTCTAGACATGTTTTTTGGTTACAGTTTAACATAGATCTGCCTTTGATCAGAATTTAACTTGAAATTCCTGCACTTTCCTTCGGCTCCATTCACCTAGCTGCTTATATTTGAACATTCAAGGGATTCAGAACTCCTACTCTTTCTAGAGAGCTAAAGGCCTCCAAGAGTTAAGTTTCACGAACCATATGTAAACCACTATACAGATTTCAGATACAGCTGCACAAATAAAGTGCAATCTTGAAACATGAGTATTGAGATCATTGCACTAGAAATCTCTGCCTGTTGTAACTATGTAGTCCCATCTCTTGTCCAGATTGATCTTTATAATTAAAAATAAAAAAAAATCAACATCATTTCCTTATCTGTCTATACTAATCATTTGTCATATGTAGAATACTCCAGAAGCCATTTCCATATTTGATAGATACCAGTGGAGGTAATTAATTTATAAATTGGACTTTTAAAAGAAGCTTTTAAAAAGTCAGTGTACTTACATAACCTTAAAAGCAAATGTCTTTAGCTTTCAGCCTCTGAAGGAACAAAATCAAAACTGCTTGAGCAAATTTCCTGGCTAGAGGAAAAACTAGAGGCTCTGGACCATAAAGAAGACAGTGGGGACCTGTATAAAAAAATGGTTCTTGCAAAAGACCAGGTATGTAGTAGAAGAAAAATTATCTTTATTTCAAAAGTTAACTAAACTTACATGAACTGACAATTCTGCAGTCATTACTGGCTGGGTTGGAAGTTCATATTTAAGTTCAAGATGGTTAATAACAATTTTGTATTTGCTAAATGTAATTGTACTTCCTGATGAATATTTACTTACAAAACTTAATTTTGTTAGTAATATTTTTAAAGTTTGTTTGATATGCATCCCTTTAAACAAGATTAGCTGTAGAGTCCATTTATTTTGTAAGTGGTATTGACTGTACAAATGCTGCTTAGTTTTCAAGGTTAAACTTAACCAAGGAATAGTTTCTTTCTATGTAATAAAATAAGTGGATCAGAAAATTTGGTATGTGCTTTTAATCAATTCCTTTATAAAGAGTTATTAATCTTTGAATCTCAAGACATTTTTATATGTGTCATTATATAAAAATTTATCTCTTGTTCAATCCAAATGGGTTCGCATCTGCCTTTGGAATATATATAGATATAGATATATACACATATGTATGTATATATGCACATACACATTACAGAATAGATATGTATATTATATATTTATATATTCTTAGATATGTATATTCTTAGAAAACATACCCATATATTACAAAGAAGGAAACAAACCCATTTGCTCCCATATAAAAGTATGTGTGATATAAGGAGGGGTTAGTATTACCTGCAGTACATCAGCAAACTAGAAAAACTAGAGGCTCTGGACCATAAAGAAGACAGCAAACATTATTTTTCCCAATCATTTCCTAGTTCTTAACACATTCGTACACTTTGTCCTTTGGCTCTTCATGACAATGGAGAAGAGATAAGAATGGAAACAATGATTTCTTTAATGATGATTTTCAAAACCTCTGGCTGAGATAATGCCATTCATAAGATTTGAGAACTGGTACATATTTATATCTATAATACTTTGAATATGTAAAAGGAAGAGTTATACACTTCATTTCTGAACTTTCCTCTTTTTCAGTGCATTGAGAAATTACAAGCTGAAGTGAAAGCCTCTCAGGAGCAACTTACAGCCCATGTAAGTGTTTTTCTCCAATTTTCATCCTTAATTTACATCACTGTTATCTTGGACATGAACAGAATATTTTCGGAAGTTATAACTGCTGTCTTTCTGCTGCAAACCAAATCACAAGGCTAAGAATCAGTATTTTTACCACCTCTACAGAGTTGCTTTTCATAAAAGAATTCTGATTCATGTTGATGATAAAAATTACAAAACTGAACTCTTATATTAAACCAGGTTGGTTTAATCAAGTATCATCAGGATAAGAGAACTGGAAACAAAGGATAGAAAGACAAGGAAACCAGGCTCCTTTAGTGAGTGAATGGAAGTAGAAATTACAGACACATTGAATGTAGGTCTATAACAGTTCCCCTTAAACTTTAGTATACAAAAATTATCTGGAAAACTTTTAAAAACACAGTGCCTGGAGATTCTGTTTCCTATATGCCTAGAGTGGAACCTGAGAATGTGCTCTTCTAGATGATATTAGATTCAGGTCATGCTGATGCTGCCAGTCTTTCGCCTATATTTCATGAAGCACTGGTTTTTATATATTCATTCTGCCCTAGTCTTGTGATTTTTAGGCAAGTGAACATATAAACAAATCGGACATGAAATTGTCCATTTTCTTCTGTAAGTGCTGCCCTGAGAGAGACCCTATGAGTTTCTAGGGTCAATTTTATTTATGCTTTAGCCTATCTTTGCTCAGAAAACAACTAATGAGCATCTCCTGCCACAATACCCTTGTGTATTCACGTGCATAAACCAGTCATCGCCTTGCCACCGCCCTTCCCAGGGATCTGAACAGCTCTGATGCCTTAAGCGTTTCCTCAAAGACTTGCTCACCATCCTCAGTGACCTCTTTTATCTACATCTTGGATGCTCTGCGGTGACTTCTTGATTAAGAACACTGGCCACTCATGTTAAATGGACAATTTAACCATGAACTCCTCAAGACCAATCTGAGAGGCTGCAGTCCAGGGGGAAAAAAAACAAAAAACAAAAAAACTCTGCAAAATAATAAATTTTAGTCACCATTCCTTTGGAGTTTGAAATGAGCCAATCCAGATAAAATCACAGTAGTTGTCCCAGTTTTGTGCTGAGATAGAGAAAAGCTAATTGGCTATGGCAGTTAGCAGAGCTTTTAACTATAATTTCAAAATCTTTTTTGACCTTGTATGCTCAATTGATCAATACTGAAAATGACTGCAGCCTGCATTTGTGACACTGTGACATATTCAGACAGAAGTATATCTCATTAGCCCAGTATTCTGTCACAGACTCCTCTTGCCTGGCATGCCCCTGAGGGTGCCAGTTAATGATGATTGTCAGAGAGTGTCTCCTCATGCCAGACTGATACCTACAGCCATATGCCCATGGGGTTTTAGCTCAGAATTTTTTAGGGAGAGCAAATTATTTACTAAGGTTCTGATATTAGCTTCTAGAATCTCTTCATGAAAAACTGATGAAAAAAACATAGTCATGGGTGCCTTAGAGAAGTTCCTGTGGTGTCTTCTTCCTTTGCCTAGCTTCTGTGGATTCTATTCTTGTACCACACTGTTCCACGCCCCACTCTTGTCTAAACTGGGATTGCTTCCTTGTATTAGGGTATGATACCCATGACTGAGATCTCTCTTACATAATTTTTCAATGTTCAGGTTTTAACATAGCACTATAGTCATCAAAGTTTTGCTTCAACTCATCAAAAATATTTAAATAAAAAAATATTAATAACGATATTTATTGAGAGTAGATTATGTGTCTACTACATGGTAGGTGCTTCATATATTACCTATTTTAAACCTCAATACAACCCAACAAGGTGAGCATTGTTTTTCAGAGAAGAAAACTGAAATTTAGAGATTAGATCACTTGTCCCATGTGTCAATTCTGAAACTCATGCTTTTGCCATCACAACTTGTTGCTTCTCCAAATTATATTCTCGACATGCCATTTGAGGTATCAAACAGTATTTATAAAAGTTTATCTCCAATCTCCTTTCTCTCTCTATTCAGTCTGAGTGATTCATCAGATTATAATGCTTCAAGGCGGACTTCCACGAAAATAAACAACCCTTCGCCCCCATCAAGTTCTTCCTATATTAATCAACCCATGATTACAGCTCCTTAGTGTTGTAATGAGCATTTCCTAAAACATTGTTCCTGGGAAAAATATTCCAAATGATGTTAACAGGTATTCTGGAGGGAAAAAATGGGAAGGGAATTAGAAATTAAGTTAAATGGCTGTTTTACTGCAGAACTTATTAGTGTATAGTCAATCTCCAAGAAAAGACCATAGTATATCACCTTTCAATGGTATTTTACCATGAATGGAGTTTTAAGCACACAGATTTGGAGATGACTGTCATATCACATTGAATTAAGGCACTATGCTTGCTAAATACAATCTAACTATCTTGCCAACACCCCAGGCTCAGCATATATGAGTCAAATTTATCATCTTCTATTCTCATCTCTTAAATCTGCTCCTCTATTTGTATTCCCTAACCATGGTGAAAAATATCACACTACTTTTATTTATTCTAGATACAAACTACAAAGCGGTATTAGAATCCTACATCTCTCTGCCTCTATCACACATTTAATTAGTTGTCAGGCTCTAAGTTTCTACAAGTTATCTCACTTCTGTGTCTTCTATTCCATTGTACTGCCACATCCTTAGCTCTTTTTGATGATTTTACATGTTGATTATTGCTACTGGCCCCAAGATACAATATAGCCCACTTGCTTTCACACCATCAAGCTCTGGTTGCAGAGGAGAGAAAGGATAAAATCTATGTGTAAAGATTTGGGGTGGGGGCAGAAACCCAAACACAGCCAAAGATTAACACTCACAGGGAGAATGAGTGTTCTATTGGAGTGGCAGAGAAGAGAAAGGGGATTAAGGGACCGAGGTGGTAGGAATGAAACCCGTAGATGGGGTGAGGGTTCTTTGGGAGATTGCAAGGTTCCAGGGAGTTCTGGGGATGCTTAAGATTAGGAAACAACAGAGAGCATTAATAAGAGTTGTCAGGCAATGTGTATTTGAACCCCCTTAAGTGTTTGAGAGTCATGTATGAAGCTTGGAATTCTCTTTTGGGCTACGCTCCCTCCATGTATCACTACCGTAGAATCTGACCACTGTAGTAGTCTCCTGGTTTCCCTGACTTCACCCTGAGTGAAGTTTCCGCAGGACCATCCCTACCCCTGGTCTCCCTTTCTCACTCACTACCCTCTGCCTCATGCTGAACAGGCTAGTGAAATAGAACTGCTGTTCTTTACACGACCAGTGTCAGTTGGTGCTCTACGACTTTGCTCTTGCATTCTCTCTCTCTGGACTATCCTTTCCTCTTTTCTTTAACCAGATAATTCTTACTTTTCTTGCAACACTCATATCAGGGATCAACTTCTCCCTTCGCCCCCAGAGTACCTTCTCTGAGGTCCCATAGCCTCCTATGCATTCATCTGTTTTAGCTCAAAATACTACATTTTATTGATGTTACCTGTTTATACATCTGTCTCCCACCAGACTTGAAGGTCATTGAGGGCAGCACCAAGAATGTTTCCCTATTCACTACACCAAGTACAGGGCTGAGCACATTGCAACCACTCAATACATTTTGTTGAATTGAATTGAATTTTACTCTGATCATGTCATTTCCCCTGTTTCAAAGCCTAGATTAAGACAATAGTTGCCCATTATTCCAGAATAAAGTTCAACCTCGCAACCATGGCATTTATCACACTGAAAATGAGGGTGTTACTGTTTTTCCTGACTCTTCTCCGTCACACATCTGTGACTTCCAAGTACACCCAAGCATTGCTGCCTTAGGGGCTCTGCTCCTGGTTTCATTTCCACCTAGAATATTTGTCCCCACGATGGTACTTGCCAGATTTTCCCCATTCTTCATCAAGATTGTTCTTTCCAGGAAGTTTTCCCTGACCATCAATCCAGAAGTAATCTCTCCTTCCTTGGTACTTTCATAGCTCTTCTCTGCCCCTCTCTCTGTCACTTGTCACACTATTACCCACAATAGAATTATTTGATGTGACCTAGCTCTTCCCCAAGACTGTGAACTCTTGAAGAATAGAGCAAGTCTTTTATCTTTATGCCTCTCGCAGTGTCTTGCTCAACATTTTGTACAGATTTCATTGAAATGAATTGTTTAAATGGCTAAATTAAAAATAAAAGTTATTTTGATAATTATAAGAAACTACGTTAAATCTCTGGGAAAATTACTTTATGAAATTTTATTCCTTAAATATGCCAGATACAAAAGGCATGACTTTAATCTGAAATAGATATTTTCAAGGTATAATGTGGAAGGAATAAAAGGTAATAATCTCAGGAATGGAAATATAGGAAAAATAACAGAAAAAACACAGTTGTGGAAAATCCCTATTTCAGAAAAAATAAGAACATCTAGAGGAAACTACAGCCTTAGCATGAAAATGAACAACCTAGAGTCTTGACTTTCTTTTATTCAGTTCACTTGCCTAGAACACGATAGTTGGATTACGTTATTGTGTAATTAAATGGATAGTTATGAAATAGAGAGAGATACAAGCCTAAACATTTCAGAGTGAATTGTCACTGCTAATATTTGGATGATTGAAATTGCATCCCATTAACTTTAGTTTGCCTAGTCACAGCTTATAACTTTCAAAAGATTACAAAGGGTTGCTCCTCCTAATGCATACACAGGTACTCATGCTGAGCCTAGGTGTTTTTTTTAGCTCCCTCCCACTTGATTACTTATCTGCTTAGAGACCTTCATGGGATTAAATAATATCTGAAGCAAATGTTTATAATCACTTAACAATAATTGTTCATATTAGGGCAATTTAAGTCAGGACTAGGAATCTTAAGGGAATAAAGTCCTTTTACAATTAATACCTTCCAAATTGTTGAATCCACTGTTTGCCTATTTTTAGTATTTGGTAGTGGTGGGGAGGGGTATAAATACTCAGCTCTGTCCATCTACTCTGTCATTGATGATCTGATTATCTACAGTA